TTTTTTAAAAAATTAATTTATTTTTGGCTGCGTTGGGTCTTCGTTGCTGTGTGCGGGCTTTCTCTAGTTGCGGCGAGTGGGGGCTACTCTTTGTTGTGGTGTGCGGGCTTCTTATTGCGGTGGCTTCTCTTTGTTGCAGAGCACGGGCTCTAGGCACACGGGCTTCAGTAGTTGTGGCCTGTGGGCTCAGCAGTTGTGGCTTGAGGGCTCTAGAGCACAGGCTCAGTAGTTGTGGTGCACGGGCTTAGTTGCTCCATGGCATGTGGGATCTTTCCAGACCAGGGCTCGAACCCGTGTCCCCTGCATTGACAGGAGGATTCTTAACCACTGCGCCACCAGGGAAGCCCAAGGGTTTTCTTAAAAGCAATGATCTTTTATTCTTTTTGTTGACTACATAGTAGACCATGCAACCTTGAATGTTCAGCTCAAAGAGCACCATATATATACAAATACATCACACCCACACAAGTACCTGACAAAGACCAAAAGCATATTCCCAGGTCCTCCCAGGCTTCCTCATGCCCCAGCCAGTCAGGACCCATCCAAGAGTACCCACTATTCTGACTTCTGCCACCATTGATTAGTTTATGCCCATGAACTTTTAAATGAAAAATAATCTATGATATTGGCAAAATTAGTGCTGTTAAGTATGGCCCATTCTTCTTGTGTGGACAGTAACATTTCAATAAACTTCAGGCTATTTTTAGAGGAAATCTTATAAATATATAACTTTAAGGATACAAAATCCCATATAAAGTAGATTAGGCAAATTAATTGATGAAATCTAGAGTTTTCCTTTTCTCAAATATGTACAGCCCGGTGTGGACCTCACGGTTCTGCTGAACAACATACAGGCTGAGTAGGAAGCCCTGGCCAAGCAGAACCGCAGGGATGCCGAGGCCTGGTTCAATGAAAACAGTGCTTCACTGCAACAGCAGATGTATGAGGATATGGGAGCCACCACCTCAGCCCAAACACTGGAAATTGAACTTCAGTCTCTCCTAGCCACGAAACACTCCCTGGAGTGCTCCTTGACAGAGACCAAGGGCAACTACTGTGTGCAGCTGGCCCAGATCCAGGCTCAGATTGGGGCCCTTGGAGGAACAGCTGCACCAGGTCAGGATGGAGACCGAGGGCCAGAAACTGGAGTATGAGTAGCTCCTGGACATCAAAGTCCACCTGGAAAGAGAAATCGAGACCTACTGTTTCCTCATCGGTGGAGATGATGGGGCTTGTGAGTCCAAAGGTTACAAGTCTAAAGATTATGTATCTGGAAATGTGGGAAACCAAATCAAAGATCTGGCCAAACCCATAGTGATTAAGAAAGTCCTTGAGGAGGTAGACCAAAGCAGCAAAATACTTATCACCAGGCTCCACTCCCTGGAGGAGAAATCTCAAAGCAATTAATTTGATACACAAGAGAGAGCATATGCCAAATACTCTCTGAGAAGAGAAGGTGTTTTATATCTGTCTGGAAAAATGAGCAAGCCTAAGAAAAAGGTCTGTCCTCTTGCCTTTCTGTTACTGAAATATAACCTTTCTCTGGGCAATCAATAGCATTATCAATAACATCTTTGCATTCATTTGGAAGAACGTCATGTACAAATGTGATGACTCATTTGATTACCTTACAGAAAATGCTGTCAATTCTTTGTAGTCAGTAAACCTTCCTTTAAGAAAATGTATATATATATATATAAATAACAAATAATCTTAACTTTAAATAATCTTAACTCATAACAAATAATCTTAACTTTAGCATCACTAAATCAAATCATTTTGGAACCTGAAATTATTTCATAGCAATACCAGACAGAATTACATGCCATGTTATATAAGTGGGAGAGTGGGCATGGTTGACTTGAAAATTGTGAGAAGGTGCTCTTTTTTTAAAAATTGAAATATAGCTGATTTAAATGTTAGTTTCTGGTGTACAGCAAAGTGATATATATATATATATATATAAACATATACACATATATATGTATGAACATATGCATATATATATCGTATATTATTTTCCAGTATGGTTTATTACAGGATACTGAATATAGTTCCTTGTGCTATCCAATAGGACTTTGTTGTTTATCTATTTTGTATATAAAAGTTGATATCTGCTAATCCCAAACTCCTAATTTTTCCCTCCACCACTCCCTTTCCCCTTTAATAACCATAAGTTTGTTTTCTATGTCTGTCTGTTTCTGTTTTATAAGTAAGTTCATTTGTGTCATATTTTAGATTCCACATGTAAATGATATCATACAGTATTTGTCCTTTTCGTTCCAATTTACTTCACTTAGTATATAATCTCTAGGTCCATCCATGTTGCTGCAAATGACATTGTTTCATTCTTTTTTATGGCTGAGTAAATTTCCATTATATCTATATATAGATATATATTTACCACCTCTTCTTTACCCATTCATCTGTCGACAGACATTTAGGTTACTTCCATGTCTTGGTTTATAAATAGTGCTGCTATGAACATTGGGGTGCATGTGTCTTTTTGAATTAACAGTTTTCTCTGTATATATGCCATGAGTGGGATTGCTAGATTATATGGCAACTCTATTTTTAGTTTTTAAAGGAACCTCCATACTGTTTTCCACAGTGGCTGCACCATTTTACATTCCCATCAACAGTGTAGGAGGATCCCCTTTTCTCCACACTGTCTCCAACATTTGTTATTTGTCGAGAAGTTGCTCTTGAACACAAGAGTTTGTGATCGACTTGCTAAGATAGTTGGACCACAGCTAACTTCAGTAGCTCTAAAGGATTTTTCAAACCTAAAATTTCTGGAACAGAATTTTGCTTGAATTTAAAGTCCCCACACAGGAACTTCCCTGGTGCTCCAGTGGTTAAGAATCCGCCTTCCAATACAGGGGATGCGAATTTGATCCCTGGTCAGGGAACTAAGATCCCACATGCCATGGGGCAACTAAGCCCACGCACTGTAACTACTGAGCTCAACTCTCTAGAGCCCATGCGCGGCAACTAGAGAAGCCCGCATGCCACAATGAAGAGCCTGTGCACCGTGACGAAAGATCCCGAATGCTGCAATGAAGATCCCAAGTGGCGCAGCTAACACCCTACACAGCCAAATAATAAAATTTAAAAAACAAACAAACAAGAAAACAGTTGCCACAGATTCCATAAGTTGATGACATTTGAACTCTATTTGATAGTGGGTATAGTAGCCCTTACATGTGCTCACCATTGGGGTCACCCAATGGGGATTTGGATGAAAGAGGTGAAGTTCACAGCCTGCCCTGGGCCTTTGGGTTCTCACAGGTTGCTGAGTGATGATTCACCAAGTCAGAGATGAGACTCAGGCAGGAGCTCGTTTATAGTGTACTTTATGCCCCACATATTTAATTCAGATTTCCTGGAGAACAGTTCATCACATGTGCCAGTTCTCCATAGAACCTGAAGCCATTCAAGTCACTAGGGGTTGGTGCCACTAACAACAAAATCCTAAAAAGAGATTCACTGACCATTATTGCAAATCCAAAAGTCTGTACACAACCCTACTAAATATGGATACTTCTAGTTAATAATGTTTAGCTTTCTCTTATGAAAGCAATACATGCTAATTGCAGAAAAAGTAGAAACTAGAGAAAAGAATAAAGAAAATTAAACTTACCTGTAATCACAATTTTTCATAGTAACTGCTGTTAAGATTTCCATGATGATTTTTAGCCTTTATTTTTACTTATGAAAAATTGAGATCAGGTTCAATGATTCTCCAAATTATTCAATATTATTAGAAGACATTTTTTTTTTTTTTTGGCTGCGCCGTGTGGTTTGTGGGACCTTAGTTCCCCAACCAGGGATTGAACCTAGGCCCTTGGCAGTGAAAGGTAGTCCTAACTGCTGGATGGCCAGGGAATTCCCTAGAAGACATGGTTTTTAATGATTGCATAATATTCTATCCCATTAAAGCATTATAACTTACTTAAACACTTTCTTATTTTTTAATATTTAGGCTATTTCCAATATTTATCACTATAAAAGCTTGTGTATCCAATCATTCATTCATGTACTCAGTAAATCGCACTGAGTTTATACTCAGGCCCCGTACAGTTGCAGAGGGTACAAAATGGGGATAAAAAAAACCAGTTGTGGTCTTTTGCCTCATAGAGCTTACATTCTGGTTAGGAAGTCAGAAACAAATGAAATAAACAAGTTAATCAAATAAAGACAATTTAAAAACTAATCAAATAATTTAAAAATGCAGCCATGCCCAGAAGAGCCAAAATAATCTTGATAAAGAAGAAAAAAGTTAGAGGACTCACATTTTCTGATTTCAAGACAATATGATACTGGCCTAAGTATAGCTATATAGATCAATGGAATAGAATTGAGAGTCCAGAAATAAATCCATACATTTATGGTCAATTTACTTTTTACATAGGTTCCAACACTGTTCAATGGGGAATTGTCTTTTCAGCAGATGGTGCTAAGACAACTAGATATCCACATGCAAAAGAATGAAGTTGGACCCCTTCCCACATCATATATAAAAATAAACTCATGCTGGATCAAAGACTTTAAGAACTAAAACCACGAAACTCATAGAAAACACATAGGGGTAGATCTTTGTGATCATGGATTAAGCAATCATTTTTCAGCTATGATACCAAAAGCATAAACAACAGAAGAAAAATAGATAAATTGAACTTCATTAAAATGAAAATTTTTGTGCTTCAAAGGACACTGTCAAGAAAGTGAAAAGACAACCAAAGAATGGGAGAAAATATTTGCAAATCATATGTCTGATAAGGGACTGACATCCAGAATATATAAGGAATTATTATAATTCAACATTAAAGACAAAAATAACCCAATTTAAAAAATGAGCAAAGGATTTGAACAGACATTTCTCCAAAAAAGACATACAGATGGCCAGTAATCACATGAAAAGATGCTCAACATCTTTAGTCATTAGGGAAATGCAAATCAAAACCACAATAAGATACCACTTCACACCCACTAAGATAGCTGAAATAAAAAAGACAAACAATATCGAGTGCTGTTGGTGAAGATGTGGAGGAATTGGAACTCATATGTTGCTGATGGGAATGTAAAATGCTATACCTGCTTTGGAAAAAGTTTTAGTGGTTCTTCAGAATGTTAAACATAGAGTTACCACATGACCCAGGAATTCCACTCCTATGTATACACCCAAGAGAACTGAAAGCATATGTTCACATGAAAACTTACATGAATGTTCATGGCAGCTTTTTTTATAATAGCCCCAAAGTGGAAATAACCCACATGTCCATCAGCTGCTGAATGGATACAATGGAATAGTATTCACCCAGGAAAAGGAATGAAATACCAACACATGCTGTAACATGGATGAGACTTGAAAACATGCTAAGTGAAAGAAACCAAACACAAAAGGGCACATATTTATAATTCCATTTATATAGAATGTCCAGAATTGGCAATTCTGTAGAAATAAAAAGTAGATTAGTGGTTGCCAGGAGCTAGGGTAGAGAGAGGGTGGAGACTGCTAATGAGTCTCTACCCAGGTTTATTTTGGGGGTGACAAAAATGTTCTGGAGTTAAATAGTGGGGAAGATTGTACAATATTGTGAATATACTAAAAATGACAATTGTACATGTTAAAAGGATGACTTTTTATAGCAGATGAATTATATCTCAATCAAACAGAATTGCTAAAAATGTGGGTATGTTAAATAAAATGAGCCAGAGGGAAGAGGGGACTTGACTTCATCAAGCATGTGAAGTCTGAATGTCAGAGCAGTCATCTAGGGAAGAAAGGAGGAAAGTGTTTTAGATAACAGGGCACAGCGTGAAAGGTCTCAGGAGGGGGGTGTGGAGGGGCCATGCCTTTTCTGATGGGCCCCTCATTATTTCCTTAGATTAGGTGAAAGAGACTAGGCATTAAAATGTAAATAAAATCCCATTTCCGAGGCAATGAAGTTCATTGTAAAAATTATGATTTTCAGGTAAATAGTAAAATGAAAATAAATCACATCCTGCAGAGTTGGCAAAGAGGGAGGGGAAAGGTGCTCTCACACACCATGAGCAGATGTATAAATCGGTACAAGTTTTATGAAAAGCCAATTGAAATACTTATCACAGGAGTGTGTTGTGGATGACTAATCAGTGTTCTGAATATAGTATAGGTAGCTTTCACTCATTGTGCCTGGCTTAATTAATGCCATTTGTTTAAAATCCATGCTGTCTCGTGTATTTCTCACAATAATCCCATTTTACAGATGAGGAAAAAGAGACTCAAAAAGGCTCAGTGGTTTGCTGCAGTTCACACAACCACGAGGTGGGTCTGTAACCTAGGGCAGTATGAATCCAAAGTCCACTCTTGTCTATCTAGCTGAATGCAGAAATATGCAAAGCTTCACAAGGCTTTGTCATTCGCCAGCCAGCAAAAGTGACATGTGCCTTTCTTAGAACTGTCTTCTTATGCTTTTAAAAGAACGGAAGACAGAGGAGTGAAATTTAAGGTCAGTGGTTTTTCTTGTTCATTTTTATATTGTAGCGCTTGGCACATAGAAGCATTAAATACATGTTGAATTGTGTAATTATGGCATACTCGGCTTAAAAGAACACATGCCAGTTAACATACAGACTTAGAGATTAGGTGGCTAAC